TTTGTCCTAATGGCTATTTTGATATGACTCAAATTCTTCTTATAGCCGTCGTTCGCGGTTTGCATTTGAAAAGTATTTAATCAGCCTCTCTGCTAAATATTCAGCGTTACAGAAAATGACTACTCGGTTATGGTAGAAGAAAATGATAAAACAAAGGATTTCTTTTCGGATTTTCAGCCATTGACTGCTCGTTACTAGAGAAACGGATGATAGAGGATTCTCAACTCTCTCATTTTAAGTTTGTTTGTCACAATATAAAGGAAACAGACTTCTGATATAGGAATTACTTGAAAATTTTTAATAGGACCTCTCAGACTGCATTTGGAATTTTTTGACTAATCATAAGCGAATAGCCTGTAATATCGGCTACAAAGCGAAAAAATTGGGCTGACATCAGTGACTACTTTAAAGTAGAAAAAAAACACTCTCTTTACAGAGTTTTGCTTAAAAAATCTATGTCGTTGGGAAGCTTTGCAAACTTTTAAAGCTTATTATATAAAACTAAAGATTGTCTGTAAAATAACTCTGCGTAACTCTTGATCGGACATTCCAATAAAAGATAATGAATTATTTTACAATAATATGGAAATCGAAATCTTAATTAAATTTAATTATTAATTTATTGAGTGACGCCTAAACTGTGCATTTTGCTGCCCCTTCTGTACTGAATAGGTGTGCTTCTTTTATGGATTAGCAAGTACGCTAATATCGGACGAATTTAATTCACGACTGTAAATATAAAATTCATCGAGTGTACCTTGAAACGGGCCAAAAGTCGTACTATTCGATCCATTATTATAATTTGCCAGTGTAACATAATTTGGCAGAGTACTTGCCGCATAATAAAATGAACCCGTTGAATTGTATATTGTTCCATTGATATATAATCGGAGACCATTTGTAGAACTGTATGTTTCAGCAACATGTGTCCAAATGTTTGATAACAGAACGGGACCAGTTACACGAACCAAACTACCATTCCAGCTTTGTCCTACTAGTTGACCATTTGCCATCAGTACCATCAACGAAAGGCTCCAAGACAAACTTGATAGATGCACAATCGTGCTGTTGAATGAACTTGGATTTATCCATAGTGAGAATGAGTAAGATTGATTCGCAGCAGCTAATGCTGTGAAGCCACTTCCTTGAAAATAAGCAGTACCTGCTAAACTAAATGCTAGAGATTCATTGACACGACCAGTTACTGTCGTAATACCAAATCCTGTACCATTAATACCGTTCGGACCTTGATCTAATAATGACCCCGAATCAAAGGAATAATGTGCGACAAGTGTTGCATCGTCTAGGATTTCCAGCGCACTTTTTGCTCTGTTTGTTACTGAAAATTGATCAATATAACCTTGAAAAAAGTTATAAGGAGATTGAATATTAGATGTACCAATTGTTATATTTCCAGTTGTTCCAAGATAAGGTCCACCTGATCTTGTTCCATCTTGAATACCATTAATATACACTGTTTGCTGTGCTGACGAATAATCATAAACAAATGCTACATGCCACCATGAATACGTTCTTAGTGCGGTATTTCCTTGTAAGTTATCGGAATAAAATCCCATATAAAGGCAGCTATTTCTCAATATGAAAAAGAGACATTTATCTGTGCATGTATTACATTGACACTGACCAAATAAATCGTTATCGCCACTTAATACTAGGGGATAAATCCATGCTTCAATTGTAAGACTCCGAAAAGCAAAATTTAAATAAGGTGTGAAAACAGTAACGGATTGGGATAATGATCCATTTAAAACGATTGCTGAGCCGTAACCAACATAACCTGGAGAGACATACGATGGGCCGTTGATTGTTTGACCATTATACACTCCATACAAATCGTTTGTATTATTATCAAATGACCAAAAAATTGTTGTGGTTGGAACATTTGTGGCTAGAAAGTAAAGAGTATGTTCACGCAATAAGACGACGCTCATCAGCCAGCTAAATCTTCTATACTAAGGAGGATTATCCAAAATTAAATCACATTATGTATTTATTATTATAAACTGTAGCAGTATTCTGAATTGATGCATCATTCTTTTACGTCAAAGAAGTTAGCAGCCGATTCGAAAATTGTAAAGTTTTAACTTTTTTAAAATTTAAATACCGCAGAATGGGTAGGTAAGTGCTATAAACATCTTAAATACATCATTCCATAGAATTGAAAACTAAACAAACGTAGGAATATGGTGATATTCGGCTAAAACGTAATCCGAGTTTTCTATTGGTTTTCCAGAAATCGTTATCGAAGTTTATTTTAATTTAAGTTTTTTTAATTTTAACTGTCAAAAATTAACGTTTTAGCGATCTTGGGGAATAGAACTAGGGAAACTCAATCATTTTGCCGGTGTTTCTGACTGTTCGAAAAATCTTTTGGCATTGCGTGATTATTTAACTTCGTCTGTTACAAAATGAGACAGTGGAATCTGTTCAGTTTTGAGAAGCCATGTGTTTTTTCCACGGATTAGAGACTTACACTTTGCAGCACAGTTCATGTGCACTAAGGAAATATCCTGCTCGCTGCAGTAAAGGTAAAGGCACTAAGTTTGATGAAACGACCACAAACACATAATTTCGGATTCAGAGGATTGAAGGAATCTTATATGTCTCTGTTTATGAAGCTCTGGGATTTTCCTCGATAGAAAGCGTTTATCGATATTTCAAAGCGTCACAGGACGGGAAGGGGGAAGCTGGATAGTCAAAGAATAATGTAATGTGGTCCCTAGCCTGCGATTTTAATCTTTGTACTGTTCTTCTATTTCTTACTAAATAAGGTTTACATCAAGGGGGAAGCTAGCATGAGAGTGAGTCACATAACAACATTTTGCCACTATATTTGCGCCTCATGGCAGCATTTGGTTCTTTCATTTACGTATGTACATAAAAGTACGCGTACCGAATCAGATGCATTCGTTATCCACATTATTATAGCGCTGTGTACGCCGTTTGAGAAAAAATTTGCTGAAAAGAGTTATTCTAGCTTGAAAATTCTCGCAATCTGCCAATTTTCTCAATCCCAAATTCTATACTCCTACGCGTTTGATCAAACTTTGCAGCGAAGTGGAAGTCTCCATAACGTCCATTTTTTGGTGTAAAAGTATTTTTGAATAACTGCCTCATTGGACTTTAAAAACCTAGCTGAATACATGCATCTTACTTCCACAATTCCAGAAGTAACTTCATCTCCGCTCGTCACACGAACCCAACCGAAAATAGTCCGGTTGAGTAAACGAATATATGGTTTTTCAGGTTTCAAATCGAATTTCTAGAGTCGAAAATTTGAAAAAGATCAAATTTTTTAAAACCTGAAAAATGGCTTATTTGTTAAAAAATGAGCGTAAATGTCTCACGTACAGCTTTTGATAATTTTGAACCATTTTTATTCTTATTCTACGCGAAAAACTATATCTAAAAAATATACTTTTAATGTTATTCAAATATCAGATGACCTGAAAATTGTTGGTCTTTCACCAATAGTGAAAATCACTCTTCCGTCACTCGCAAATGCGTCAAGTCTTTCTAGATAAGTGACGAAGCCAATAGTTTTATATCATTATACTCGTCATAATAGCACGAAAAAGGTCAATTATGCGTCGGTTTTGGAAAATATTGTTCCGTTATTGAGAAAATAAATTTTTTTGAAACAGGTAGCAAAAACCAAGGAAATTCACTTGTATTTAGCAGTTTTCACCGTCAAAGTTCCATTTTTCTGCAACACCAATGCCATATTTGGAATCAGCATCAAAGTGTATTTCAGGTTTTTTGGACAAATCTGTTTTTTTTTGAACTTTCAACCGAGATTTTTCCAGAAATCCTGAAACATACTTTGATGCTGATTCCAAATATGACATTGGTGTTGCAGAAAAATGGAACCTTGACTGTGAAAACTGCAAAATACAAGTGAATTTCCTTGATTTTTGCTACCTGTTTCAAAAAACTTTATTAAGAACTAGATATACAACAGTTGCAGCGTTTTACTAGTTAACTGTACTGGTAGCTGTAAAACTGCTGATAATTGTAACTGTGGAAACTGTTACAAGGCTGCTAATAATTGTAGGCAAATATTCTAGAGTCAGTCAGTCTTGCGGGATTTGCATACATTTTAAGAACGTACTAACTCGTTCTATTATCCATTTTAAAAAAGAAAGACCATGGCCATTTGTTTAATAACTTTTTCTAGGATGTACCTACGGAGCTGCGATTTTCACTAGTCGAAAGAAAAATGTTGGAGCAATAAGAAAAATCAAAAGTTATTGTCCTAAAATCATTTGCAGGTGGTGCACCCTGCGAAGATATTTTGCGAAAGGTGCCACACCACTGAAAAAGTTTGAGATTTTAACTTTTGAGACGACAGGCAGATAGCCCGGACTGAGATATTCGTTTCTAGAGCAGTCCCAGGTCGTTAGCTTACAAGATTCCGGAGCGAGAAAGGTTGGAAACTGTTACAAGGCTGCTAATAATTGTAGGCAAATATTCTAGAGTCAGTCAGTCAAAATAACTTTCTGAATAGGAAGACCCTCTTGAGAGTAGACCAGAATTTCACGTTAGGTTCTCGATACTAGGAGGGTTCCGTTATTGTTGTGTATTTGCCATCTATTTTTAGCAAACTGACGTGTTTTCTCTGTACTTCCTTTTTTGATTGTGCTATTTTTCAGTTTAAAAATAGTTCAGTTTAAACTAGAGAACCTCGGTCTGAACTTCATCCTCAATTGATAAAATTCCGCTCGAACTACGCTCTATTACTCAAAGTGTTGGCTGCTTTGATGTGGTCGTTCAAAATCGGTTTCTTTCGTTTAGGTTAAAAATAGATTATCAATGACGCAACGTACAATCTAGTCTGTAAAAAATTTCATAACCTAAACCTAACCTTTAAATTGTAGCTCGTTTAATTTCCAATACGAAAGCTGCCCCGAAACTCTTTCAAATGCCGCCAGCGATTTTACAGTAAACATTTTTTTGTACGTTGATATCCAAAAAAACGATGGTTATCAAGAAACACCACTTCAAACCGCTTGAGAAAAAACCTAAGTGAGCCAAACGAACGAGCACATTTCGAAACCTTAAAGCACCGAGTTTCATTAAATTTGGTCCAATAATTCATAAGTTATATAAAATTGAGAGCTCTAAGGAAAATTCTGGACTCGAGCTACGTAAAGTTCAAAATTCTGAATTTTCATTATTTTATTGCATTCGATCCGATGTAGTTGGAAGTTTCGAACTGCCACAAAATTTGTTGTAAAATCCTAATTCTGGGGGCAGTATCACAAAAAAACTTATGTCAAAATTTTGACTTAAGTCAAAGTCTTACTTATATACACTTATGTGCTACACACTTCGGTGACTTAAGTTTTTTCGTGATGCGACTCCCTGAAGTATAATCCTCAGTCATTTTGAATTTTATTATTTGTAATCTAGTAGATGAAGAAGAATAAAGCGAAAACGGAACACCATGTATCCAACAAACAGCTCACGCTGGAGAGATGAATCCATTATACGAAAAAGATCTTAAGGAGCGCATAAACTTTTAGTTAACAGTTTTATTCTCTCACCTTTACCACAAACGCAGCAGTTATCTTCCGGATAAATGTAAGTTGAACCACCGGCCCACGAACTGCCTGGCATAAAGCTATTATTCGCACACCAATAAATTGCATACTCAGAACAGGTGTAACCTTTACCATTCGGTGCTCCAGTGTAACCGTTGAACCAACCAGGTATATCAACGCATGGTTGACCTGAAAGAAGAACTCTCTTTGAATGCAACCATTCAGTATGATTACTGTAAGTAAATAAACTGAGAAAACTTATGCAGTGATCTAAATGATTAATATGGAAAATAGAGTTTTTCAGAAGAAATGAAATTTGATAGCGGCATTTCAAAGTGGAAACAGACTATTAGTGTTAACGCCTTTTTCCATCGTCTATCACTCAGAGCACTACTAAAAAATATTACTTTTGTAAATCAGTGAATCATTTACTAATTCAATCTCATTCTCTCAAACCAGGTGGGTACAACTTTCCAGAACTAAGCCATTTTGAGATCCTCTTTATGAAAGGTTTTCGCCAACCGTTGACTCATCTTGACCGAATTTATTATTATAAATTTTATCCTTGGATATGAACGTCATACTGAGTTTTTTGGAAAACCAGAGACCCGGACAAAGTAACAGGGCCGGAAACGGATTTTCTGAAAACACCTTAATTTACTTGTTGTTGTGGTTGCTGTTGTTGTTGAAGTTGTACTTGTAGCTGAAAAGAATTTAAAAAAAGAGTTGTGGCTTGATTGAAAAAGCAAACACTAGTCCTTTTGAGCTGCTATAAAATCTACTTAAAGATAGAAAAGAATTGTGAGAAAAGTCTGAAAAACAAAACGACATGTTCGAGAGACGAAATTTACCCGTAACTGTAGCTCTACGTTATAGTTTCGCTTACTGCCCTTATTTTACTCAATTTTAGTAAACCTTCACCCAGAACAGAAGGCCATGAGCTTCTATTATGGTTTCACACATCACACTTTTTTTGATGAAAAACTGTCCTACCCTACAGCGCGTTTTTCAAAAATTTTTGCTCGAGACTGGCCTTCTAATATAGGGTGGTCTTCTATTATGGGGAGAGGAGTTTAATGATTATGATCTTCATGCTGGATGAAAGGCTATAGGGGCTGATCGAAACTTTGGTCTTATCGAAAATCCCAGTAGAAGCTCGAGACTGATCCATTTCGTCTGATGGTTCTAAGGGAAGTGGATGTCAGTAGAATCAAAGTGAGCTTTCATTTCAGTGCAAGCTACCCTTACGGTACTAATTATTATCTGAAAAGAAGCAGTGCCCTTGGTTGCTTTCTGAATAACTCGAGAGCAAAAAGAGCCAGAGGGTTCGGATTTCATCATTCGAAAGGGAAGACTTAGCCGCATCTTATATCAACAGAAAAAGAAATTTCGAACCCTTTTTTGAAACTAGGACTTTCAGAGGATCTTTAAAATCACCCTGAAGCTTCAGAAATTCAGCTAAGAACATTTTCGTATTTTTACATGAATAGATAGCCCAAGTATCGCCTTCAAGATGGCAGTCAAATGAGACGGCTACGGCGTAGCATCGGATTTTCCGAGAGTATTGCACACGTGATCCTTGAATATATTAAAAGAAACAAGAGATCCACTTTTTGTTCCAATGTCTTTTGGAAATCCGGTCGGAAAATCAAATTGTTTTCTTAAAGCTTTTGTAATTTTTATGTTAAATTATATGTAGGGCAGCCGAATTTCGACTGCTGAAATTAAATATCTTCTAAAGTGTCTCTCCAATAAACAAACACTACTACAACCACAAGATTCAGTGTAGTCACTTGCCTATGTTCTATCTAACTTCCAGGCTATCGAAAGCCGCTAGATATTAGTGCTGTGTCTCTTACAAAATGCGGTGCCGATAGAAACACTGATTTTTGCCGTTATATCCAGACTAACAGCTAACTGTCGAATAGATTAAGCAGAATATAACGCTGTTATGGGTCGACCTTGCTCCTTATTTGATCCTCACAAACACACCCTAGCAGAAGTAACGGGCAGGTTTGCAGACTCAGATTCTGCTAGTCGACCATTTACCGCTCTGCATACTGACTTGCGAATGAACTATAATCAGATCGGTACTTCGTACTTGTTGCGGTCGACGTTGTTGTTGTGGTCGATGTTGTTGTTGTGGTCGATGTTGTTGTTGTTGTGGTCGATGTTGTTGTTGTGGTCGACGTTGTTGTTGTGGTCGACGTTGTTGTTGTTGTGGTCGATGCTGTTGTTGTGGTCGATGTTGTTGTTGTGGTAGTCGTTGATGCTGAAAAAAATTTCATGAAACAAGAAAGTATAAATCATTGTCTGGAACAAAAATGCACCTCGGGCTCTCTTTTTTTTCCTAATGAGGCCAGCGTTTGGGATTTTTTGAAGAAAAAGCCATCAGACTTAGACTTACTAGTTTCTGTCATGGCTGTATTTTAGAAGCAGAACAATCAATAATTGCATGAGTTGTTTAGAAACCTACTATCGATCGACGATTGACTGGTGGGGTGATATAGTGCATTAAGTAAAGGAATTAGTATTGCCGCATAAAATAACGCCAACACAGCAACACCAACAAGGATTTTACAAAACGGACCGCCCAGCCTTAATCTTTTCCGCCTGTAGAAAATGATAGAAAAAAAGTGCAGGCAAAACAAAAGAATCAAAATAACTAAGTAGTGGTTAATATTTCTGTACACTGTTGATGGTATTTCTTGTAGTTTGTCAAAATCAACGTTTATTTCACTACTTTGTGTTGTTAATATTTCTGGCGATTGTAACGGATCGTCCTTCTTAAATTAAATACTATACGGTATGCGATAAAAGTGTACACGAAAATATTGTCTGAAAATTGCCAGAAAATCGTTGAGGAAAAAGTTGTATTGTAATTTTAATCATTTTAACGGAAAGAAACGCTTTTCTCACAGTAATTTTGTGCTCTTTCTTTTAGAAAATGTCAACTCTACATACCGATAAATCTTTTTGCGATGGTGTACAACACCACTTCAGAGTTGTAACCGATTGAAAAAACTGGATCGGTTCGAATCGGTCGAGCAGAAATCAGCATCAGATCGGTAAAAAATCGGTGATTGTTCGAAGCTTTTGCGGTTTGTGAAGAGAAAGGTAAATTACAATAAGCACGTTTACTTAGAATACTTTCTGAACATTTTAGAAATAAAAAAAGAAGACATCTGTCACAGCGAAGTCTCAAAGTGTGTTGACTTCAGAAGGCGAACACCTGAAGAGTAAAGACTTCGTTCGATCCAGAGAAAATTGTTTTCTACAACTTTTACTTATCAAATCATTTCATCGTACAATTCCAATAAAAAATGATGACCGGGACGCTATGAGAATGTACTTTTTTCAATTTTTTTTCAAAAGATAAACCGGTATCGGCCAATTGAAAAATGTGACCGGATCCGATCAGTTACCGGTCAATCGGCCGATCCGGTTACGACTCTGCACCACTTTTGAGATCAAGTGTAGCGTTTTAGTCGTCGTCTAATCACAAATCTTACACGTTTTAATTTCCCTACAATCAAAGTATTCCAGTATTCCGTTTTTCTGTTGCCTTTCCGTTGAAATAATTAGTAATACACAGAAGAGATTCACAATTTTCATCTAAGTACTGAAAGACATTCTGAGGGACTCCTTCATAAAAAAAGTCTACTTTCGGAATGAAAAGGTTTCAAATGATTTGTATGTAACTTTGTGTAATGTTCAGAATGAGATATCTCAGTTAAAACTTAAATTCATTACATTGATCACTCGTCAAGTTTCTCTCTTTTAAAATTTTTCTGTTTGGCGAACGTGTCTGTCAGTAGCCGTATGCTACTTTGTCAATGTCCGTAATTTCGCACAAGTGGCTCAGACTTTTCCGAATTGAAACAAACATTATCTTACTTGTGAATCGATCGCTGATCGCGATACATTACGGCAATACAGTTTAGCTATCACCATTATTCCTAAAATATGCAACAGATAGTAAATTAGACTGTAAGCAATTATCAATATCATGAGATAGTATAGTACTGTCAAAATCGTAAGAGGTCTGATTACTTAGTCTGCCAAATGAACTAGAGTTGCCTTCGTTGCTTTGGGTGGAAGTAAAGTCTTGTGGAAACTTTATCAAAACGGATATTAGTAAGGGTAATTACGTAGTGATTTTAAAAAAATAAACTATACTGTCACATGAATTTACTGCATGTGTACCCACGTTACTTAAAGTTTACAAAACACATTGCTTTTGGTACTAAAAAACATCGAAATATACGTGAAATTAAGATGTTGTTGATTTTTTATTTCATTTATTAAAACTTTCCATTGCCTTTTAGGCATTTCTATTAATCAGCTGAATCAATCTTTGTTTTCTTTTCGTTTGTTTCATCCATTTAACAAAATACACTTTGCATCCTCAGTCAAAAAGTGTATGGCAACTTTGAACCATTGTCGTTTTCTATACCTTTTTGTTGATAAATAATAAAACATGTTTCATGTTAAAATCAGTCGGGAACTATGAATGTTTAGATTATGAATTAGAATATGTATATACATTGCTCAGACTTTTCCAGAAAAAATCGTTCAGACTACTCTGCTGTTTAGAGGTGACCTAAATCATCTCAGTTTAGAACAGGGCAGTTGAAAATAAAAGAAACGAACAGAGAAAAGGACCATAAGCACTATTAATAATTGCACGCCTTTCGCTTTCAGTATATGCAGTTAATTTATGCTGCTCTATTAAATTAAAATCTTATTTGTAAATTAGTTACTCAACGAATAAATTCAAACAATACCTCTTTTGGTGGAGAATTTTCTCGGGCCATAACACAGATGGTCTTAAAACTTTTAGACTTTATTTTTGACTGCTAATTTTCTTAACTTTTTCGAATTTTTGAGTTAGTGAGCGCCACGTTTTTCGACATTTTTTAAAAGAATTTTTTATTGAATTTTCGGATTTTTTGATTTACTTTCCTGCAACATACAAACAACATTGCTCAGAAATTCTCTCACTAAACGATTACCACGGTTTTCCTGAATAAAATGATGTAAAAACTATAATAAAAAACGGTCATCTAATACAGTTTCAACAAAAGGACTAAGATGCCAGCTCGAGAGAAGAAAAGCCGACAAAAACGTAAAGACTAAGAGCCAGCAATCACAGACAACTCCTATACCATGTGTATTACAAAAGAGCATCAGAGTGTTGTTGAAAAACTCGCTGAACTGCAGGCTATTATTGGTGACTCTTAAAACTCATTAAAAATATCCTGGTGACCTTGGATCAACTTCTAGTCAAGAACAAACATTGCCACGTTTATCAGCCGATTCGGTAACCTATGTTTCAAGTCTTTCCGAGATCTTCCGCCGTGCCCGGACCGAGTTAGCGTGGTCTCCGGAGAACCTTTCTCGCTCCGGAATCTTGTAAGCTAACGACCAGGGACTGCTCTAGAAACGAATATCTCAGTCCGGGCTATCTGCCTCTCGTCTCAAAAGTTAAAATCTCAAACTTTTTCAACTAACTAAAAAAAGAAAAACTAGTTTACCGCGCCCCAGTACGATTAAAGAAGCACGCATTAGGTGATGTGTCGAGTTTGTTCTCTATATTTCCATCGGTCAATAGAGCTAAGTAAGTCGATTTTTTGTTTCAGCCGTTTAAGATGCTTCGGATGGAGTATCAAGTCGTTGTTTTGCCTTTTATAATCAGAAGTATTGAGCAGTACATGCACGATCACTCTACACTACACAAAATACTACAAAAATATCGACCAATACACCAGCTGAGGCATCTAGATATTATGTTTTGAGCACTTATGAATAAGCTTAAGAGATGTTTAATTTTAACTTATGAGGAGTAGTAAGAGCACGAGAGATTATGATACGTACATAGAGTAAAATAGGTAATGATACTAATAGTAAAGGTTTTTAAACAGACAGTTCTCTCCCGTTCCTAGACCTCCAGCTTTTACGTAAATGACACAGATAGTTTAAGATTAAATATGATTCAAATATCTAAGAGCAGATCGACGAGAAAGTGGGATTCCACTACTGCTAGGAAACTTTTATTCAATGGCAGTACATGACGAAGAAGATACATTTAAAACAAGTCCAACATCTAAAAATGACGACTGTTTCGGACAATGTACGCATGCTACTTGTCCTTTTTATCTTAACAAGTAGCTTGTTTAAATATCACGATGCTTAGATGTATATATGTTGACTCAGTGCATTTCTGGTGAGTCGAATATGACTATATGTTTAACTAAACCGTTACAGATGACTATGTATCCTGATGATAATTAGTGTTTCGCGATTAACTAATGTTTTTCCACTGTCTCATCCAGAAATTACAGCCAAAAATACGGCGACCCACAAGTTACTTTCAAGTTGCATCGATGTCTGACTGCCATATAGTGTAAAAAGTAAAGTTAAAATGCACCAACAATAGCTTCATTGTGCAACGTAGATGCATGTTTTAATCATCATGATGCTATAGACTAAGCCATTTTTTATTCGAACTACAAACGAATAAGAGAAATGGCTTTAATTTCTTCACTAACAGCTTAGATCTTTCATGTTTTCGTTTTACTAGCCTGGTTTAAGATCTCTGTACGAGGGCAACGACTTTCGAGTAAAAAATGTGATAATAATTGCAGCTGTTTTGAACTTCATACCTTTATTTGTTGATATTTCAACAAAATTCGGTTTATGAATATTAAGAAGCTCGTTAGAAAATAACATTATTTCATTCTATCTTCTACTATTACGCCATGTTTGTGATTTAATCACATCGATATTTTCAAACAGATTTTAAGTTTAGAGTGATAAAAT